AACTTTCATTCTCTATACTCGGTCAAACAGAAAAAAAAATCTGCTCGTGGCAAAAGGGAAGACAGATTCGGTTCTGCAAGGGACCTGAAAATCACCTTAGTTTAAATCTTTTATTTTTAAAGAAAGAGAGACCAAAGCCCAGAGTTGATTTTCTTATGGTTGGTGGCCAGTTAGGACAAGAAATCGTGGAGGCGAGGTTCTATACAAGGATGATGCATCCCACCTTCAACTACTATGCCTTCCAATCTTCTCTCAAATTACGTCAGTCATTATAAGCAAAGAAATATGCATGTGTTTTTCATAATCTTGTACCATGAGACAAACATCTTTATTTTATTGTTTATTTTAACATCTATTCTGTGAACTGAGGTAACCCAGCTGATGGAAGGAGCCAAGGAGCCCAGAAGCCTTGGTTCTTACTCTTGTCTCCACCAATAACTGGCTGCTTGAGATTTAGCAATACCAGGATCTGCCTTTTTCTCACCAATGACACCATATTTTGCTGTGTATAATGCTCACCCACATTTCTGACCCGAACTTTCTGGAAACAAATCTTTTAATTTTTTAATTCAATTATTTATTTATTTATATTTAGAAACAAAACCAATGACTGTATTCCAGGGTATTATTTTGCATATGGTATTGTTATTGCTTTCTACAGTACATAAGCATAAATAAAAGAATTAAAAACATTTATATAGATATGGAATTAGTACTACCCATGAATAATGAGCACCCTTAATTTTCCCTCAAAAATTTGAGCAAAAATGTGCATTATACACAGTAAAATGTGGTACTTCATTAAAAGGTAGGAAGCGCCCTAATTACAGCAATATTAAAATGTGCAAAAATGCTTGTAGTGATTTTAAGATGCCACTGATTATAAGCTGTAGCTCTACTCAGATATGTTAAAATGTGAAAAACTGTGTCTAAAAATGGATGAAATGTGGAGAAAGATGATTTTGCACAAGGGCAACAACAACAGAAAAGGGAGCTGAAAGAGCGGCTACAAAGAGGAGGAACTGAGACTCAAGGGGAAGAAAATGGGTTGTGAGGACAGGCACCTAGACTGTTAGGTTATTTCCACCTGATTACAAAGCTTCCTCCCTCTCCCGTTATGTTACCACACTTCTTCTACCACCCAGTAGTAAGAGTGCCCTTCCTCTAGTTGACCCTTGAATTCAATTGGTCTCCAGGTCACAGAGACCTAATCCTAGCAATAAACTGATTCAATTAGCTCTCTCCAGCCTGGGTTCAGGGCCAAGGCTCCAGGTGAGGCTTTACCACTGCCCTGACCTCCTCTAACAGCCTCCCAGACAATCTCCAAATCCCCAGCCTCTATCCAGGCCAATCCATCCTATATGTTCTGACAAGACTCATATTTCCGGAGCACAGCATTCATAATGCACTCCTAACTCTAAAGCCTCAGTGGTACCCTGTTACCAAACAAACACCTCAAGGAGAAAGAGCAGGCTAAGAGGTACAACGACCTGGCTGAAATGCTTTGTGACTGTGGGCAAGTGTCTAAACTTCTCTGGGCCTCCATTTCCTCACCTGTAAAGTAGAAATGCTAATAGTACCAATTATTAGTAATTGAGATAAATCCACGTAAAAAATGCTCAGTGCCAGATTTGACACATAATAATAGTCCAATGAAAGTTAGCCATTATTAGTACCAACAATTTGCCTTTCTAACCTTTTCTTCCACTTCTGCCCTATCAGTTTCAGCCAACTGGGCTACCTGCTTTTTGCTCAATAACTCTATACTTGTTTGCTTTCCAAACTCCCTCTCTCATGCCTGTCCTATCTCTATAAGATTCCTCTATGAAACCCAAGCCTAAATTCAAATGTTGGTTCAATTCTGTTTAGTTTAGTCCCAGCATCTCTTTACGACTGGCAGTCTTGGAGGCCTTTACAGCCACCACTGTCGCTCACTTTCCCCATGTCCACACATGCTCTTCCTGAAGATGCAGTAACAGCCAACTAGGTGCGGTGCGACTTAAATCTACTTGCTCAGTTCTGGGATGGACCCCAGATTATAAGATTTACATTGTTCTAGTTATTACTTCAAGGAAACAAGGACTACATCCATCTCTAGGCCAAGGACTTTCTGTGGAAGGTGGAGGGAAGGAAGTTCCCACATGAGAATATGGCGACAGGAGGGTTGCTGGCAGTCATCTTGCAAAGTCAGACTGTGGATATAACAACATCTGTGAACACTTTGGAGGGACAAGCAAAAATTCTGCCATCAGGACGTTTTGGGTCAGGTGGTCATTTAAGCCCATCTCACTTGGGTTTTGTTTCCTGCACCAGAATCACCCTAACTAGTCCAAAATATTAAGTACTTACAGGGCTAACATGGACAGCTCTGCTATAAAGCTTTCTCAAATATAGTTAGACAAGACCCCCGGAAATCTGCTTTGGATCCCCTTTTAGCCCAAGGTACAGACTAGGTATGGGATAAAAGGATTAAAGTGTAAGCCAACTCAAGAAGCCCTTTGGAGTCAGGAACTGTGTCCTTCAGCTTTTGTATACAACCTCTCCTGCCATCGCACACACTCCCACTACCCCCACATTCAATAGCTGACAAGTCAATGCATAAATAAAAAGAATGAATCAAACATAGGCTAAAAGGAAGGAAACGGACTTTAGGCAGATTTGAAAGATGACAATTTGTTAATCTTGCATGGCTTGAAGATGTACCTTTGATTATGAGGTTAAATTTTTAAGTTACAGAATAACAGAGTTGCATAAGTGGCATATAGCCCACTGAATAAATCCTGGCAGCATAAGGACAGACAAAGGAGCAAGTATATTGTACAAGAGACAAAGCTATATGATTTGGAAAAATCTCTTGGCACATCTAGGCCTTAGTTCTTATCCTTTAAGAAGGAAGTAGGGACAACAGTTCTCACAGGATGGCATAAAAATTCTGTATGGCGAGCAACTATTTACAGGAGCAACTAGTCACATCAAAAAATACCTCAAACTGAATGTATGCAGAGAGTTATGGTTAGTTAACGGAAAAAGTGTCCCATCAGGAATAGAAGAGTTGGTAGGCAACAGAGGAGGAACACAAATTCAGAATAATTACAGAATGTTTCAGGGGAGAGGAAGGATGTGGCCAAATCAGAAAGAAGTAAAACCATTACTCACACTCTCTACTATCTACTTAGGCATCGGTCACCCTAAAGGAAGGGAACCAGGTTTTCCTTGATTTGTGTAATTCAAGTGGGAAATACAATAGCCAAGGATCGATATACTCACCTACAGCAGTAAAAGGACAACCAGTAATGATGATGAATGCAAACAAGGAGGTAATGCAAGAAAGATCCTTGGAAGATCCTTGTGATCGGCAAATATCCAAAAATCAAGGACTCTAACCAAAAAACAAACTCTGTTGATCCTAGGAAATGAGATCTTACCTCATTTTTAAAAGTGACTTCATAAGGATACTAAAATTAGTGTTTGTGAAAACCTACTTTCAATATTTTCCTAGTTATTTGAGATTTCTAGGTTTCAGCACTGGCCATATCCCTTAAACCTCACTTACCCTTCCACAGAAGAAAAAAAATAAGTGAAGAAACATTTGGCAGACCCATGTTGGCTCTTTCATTTTATCGTCTCTTGAAATCCATATAACAATTCCATAACATGAAATCCCCACTTACAGATGGAAACTGAGTCAAGGGGATGAGGGTAGTATGTGAAGTCATGAGATATTTTCCTTGAAAAATATGACAAATTTTAATATGCTTTCTACTTTCACTTTTCAGCAAAGTTCTATCCTATATTCTGCAAAATTAGCTATCTGTAACCATCAACATTTTCCCTTTTGTCTTCAGTTAAAAATGGAGGAAAAAGAAAAATGCAAAAAGAAAAACACTACCAAAAAGTTCCTGGCAATGAGAAGTTACAATCTGGGGTAGGAATCTCAAAAGGACATGAGTGACATTTCTCTTGCAAGTACAGACCTTTCCTGGAGAATCCCAGGCAGTGTCTAAGCTGACTGACGGAGTGATCATCTACTCGTCCCCTACCTCACACAGATGCAAAATAAAAGTGTTCGTCCACGGCCAGAAAATGCAGAAACGGCTATGCATGTATCTGTAGATTCTGTACCGAATGCTACCGGCTGATATGTTCGGGCAAAACAAGTGCAAACCAACAGGTTGTATCTACCAAGGGGTTAGGGGAATAAGTTACAAAGTCTAACGAGCAACATTAGCTCTTCCGTACAACCTTGTTGAGCACTTCCTGCCACGGATCCCGATATTAAAGAATTAAGGCTGCTTGCTCCCCACAATCCCCTCGCCCGCACCCTAGGGTTGTCCAGACCAGCTAATATGTCAAGCACTGTAAAGTGCACCCACCCCCAAGTTCGCCAAACGCATTCTGTAAATTTGCAATCAAGAACCTACGAGATAAGCTTAACAGTCATGAGGAGGGGAAAGCACCACCCTTCAAGTGCAAGGCACGTAACGGTTGCCAGCTACAATTCGAAAGCGCTCTTCCTCCAAGCAGGACTCCCTCCACCCCAGAGCAGTAGGGTGGACTCGGGGAGTCCGGGTAGGGGCGGGGTGAGTCTTACTGCCGGAAACTGTAAAAGAGCACTTTTCCTTAATTTTCCAACAGACGCGACCCGGGGGCTTCCCCCGGCCCGGAGCCGCGCCCTGACCTCACGCTTCCCTTCCAAGCCCGCCGCTCCTGCCTCGCCCGCGCCCCGACTCCTTAAAGGGCCGCCCGGTCCTTCTCGAGTCCCCGCCCCCTCGCTTTCCCACCAGCCTCACCCCTCCCCAAATTACCTCCAGTTGCAGTTAATCAGGTTTTAGTAAACACTGAAGTAGTCCGGGGCTAGCAGGCTTCCCTGGAGAGGGGCGGGGGGTCGAGGCATGGCAGGAGGGTCCCCGCACCGCCTCTTCAGAGCAGGCCTAAGGTGGGCGCGCCCTGGGTCTCCGCGCCGACCCGACCTGCGGTCCCCGAAGGCTCTCCGAACTCACCCAGGTTTTGTTCTCCACCAAAGAAAGAGCTCTGTTTCAGAGGGCGCCTCCCTGGACCTCCACCCGCGAGTTCATCCCGACCCGGCAGGCGGACCTGAGCGCACAAACCCATCCCTTCTGCCTGGGGTGTGGGCAGTGTGTGTTCCCGCGACTCCTGTCAGCTTGCAAAACTGCCCGCCTGCTGCTTCCACGCGCGGAACAGGTGAGGCAGCATCACGGTGCAAACTCCCGCGGCGCCCAGGACGATCCATCTCCCGCCCGCACAGCTTCTCCTGTGCACTCAGTCCGCCCGTCTGTCCTGGGGGGCCGGGTTGGGGCCCCCCGAGCCATCCGCCAAGGCTCTTAAGCCACGCGGGCGGAGCGCGGGCCGCGCCGGCAGCTCTTCCTCCGCAGCAGGTCCAGGACCTAACCGCGGTTCTCCGGTTCCTGCCGCACGCTCGCGCGAGTGTCATGGCCGAGAGACGGCCCAGGCGAAGTTTCCTGGAGCTAACGGCTTACCTCTTAGCCCGAGGGGCAGCAGCAGCTTTGGGAAGCAGCGAGGCAGCAGCTAGAGCGCCAGTTGCCAGCTGGAGCCGAGGACGACGTCGGAGGGAGGTACCAGTCGCCAGGAACCTCCGAGAGGGAAAGAGGAAGGCGCCGGGTATCTACAATCAGAACGTGGGCTGACCGTGACGTCACAATGGCGCCGCCAGCCAATGGGGGCCCCGAAGATGAATCAAGCGCTATGATGTCATGCGGCCCCGGAGCCAATCGCGAGACAATAGAACTTTCTTGATTGTAAATTCCAGAATGCGATGCAGTGGGGAGCCTAGGCCCGTATAGGTCCGATGTGGTTTACGTGTTTCTGGGCAGTTTTATCCCCTTTCCTTCTAATAAGCCTGCGTGGAACGAAGAGCGTGCGCAATAGCGGCAGTGAAGTTCCCGATGCCCTGAACTCTGATTCTCTCAGTGCCAGGGACGGCGTGGTTGTGTGGCCGTGCTTAGACAGCTGGAGACCGCTATGGTAGAAGTCCTTTCTACCGTCCTAAAAAGGATCTAGTTCTCCTTCGGTTTAGCTACAAAGGGTTAGATGCCTACAGAGACCACTGTAACTAAGGTCTGCAGTTGAACAAGCTAAAGCAATGACACGCCACTCAGAACTGATGTTAGTAGCTTCACTCCCTTGTGATAGATTTACTGTGATTTTTCTAAGAGATTCTGATTTTTCCTTGTAAATCAGTCTCTACCAAGGCCATTTCTACTTCAGAAATTACTCCAAAAGCTTGTAAAAGGAGGAACGGTAAGTGGAGTGACATCTTTTCAGCTTTACAAATTTAAGCACTTAAGACAAAATGCTTTGTGCTCAGAGCACAAATAGAAGATCCTTACTGTTTTTTTCATTGATGTTGGATAATCTGAGATTTTCATCATTCTAGTATCCTACACATATTCTTATATGTGGGAGAATATAGTATCCTTACATACCCTTATATGGTGAAGGATATAGAATCCTTCCTATATAGGATATAGGATCCTTCCCCATAATGAGCCCCAGAGATTCTTTCTCCTTGTCCCCTCTTGCTGTATTGCTACTACTCCATGACCTTGAATCCAGTTTAGTTAACCATTTAATGTAGTAGCCAATTTTGCGTTTACAATGTAATGTTTATCATGTGTCTATTGTGTTCCAGGTACTGGCCTTGGTAGTAGAAAAGCAGGTGTTCAACCTATATACAAACTAGGTAATTGAAACATACACAAATGAGATTTTTAGCAATCAGTTGCCATTTGACTGCAAAAACACTGGAGTACCTCTGTTTGTTAGATATTAAGCTAGGTATTAGGACTAAAAAAAATTCAAGGACCTCTTCCACCTGTAAAATGATAAGGTGAAGAACAATGATGCAGAGCAGTAATGCTACGATGGAAGCCAAGAAACACAGATTAAGAAATTTTTGTCAGGGGACATGTGAAAAACATACCAGAGGCACAGAAGAGTTTGGCAAGGTATCTTCACTCTTCTGCTAACAGCCCTAGGCCAGAACTGGTTCAGCTCTCTGTCATCCTGTCCAAGTTCTCTCTATCCAGGTTTTAAAAGTTTCAAGTTTAACTTGATATTCCAAAAATCTCAAGTTTTATGTCACAATCAATTGTTTCTAATGTGCTCATTTATCAAAATGTTTTAAGCCCCAATTACAAAATATCTATATTTCAAATTGTGGACTTTTATCAGGGATTTTCAACCAGGGTGCTGCAGCACACTGGTGAGCAGCGAGAATTTTTAAAACATGCAGTACCTGACTATTTAGTCAGGAGCACTGACCTCTTTTTCCTTAGACTGTCAAATTAAAAAATGACAGCAAACATTACAATAGCTGGGGTGTGACTGCCCTACATTGAACCATAACTGTATGGTCATGTAATAGAGTTGCATCTTATTAGTCATGTGGCAGAAGGCTGTGTCTGATTGTTTAATTCTTGGTATCATAAATCCTTATACAGAAGTATAAGAACCTGATTTAAAAAAAGATTATTTATTATTTATTAATTTATTTATAGAGAGAGGGGAAGGAAAGGAGAAAGAGAAGGAAACATCGATTGGTAGCTTCTCCTGTGCACCCCGATTGGGGACTGGACCCACAACCCAGGCATGTGCCCTTGATTGGGAATCAACTGGTTCCCATTTGCTCTGCAGAACGAAGCCTGAACAACTAAGTCACGCTAGGTAGGGCAGAACCAGATTTTTTAAAAAGACACTTTGGAGCAGAAAAAGCAGCTAATTAAACTACTTGAATATTTTTTATTAACTTTGAATAGCATTTTTTTTGTATATCAAGCAAAATCATACCTATTTTTTGTCAGATGAGCAAAAAAAAAATTGGGGGGTGTGCTCCAGAATTTTAGTAATTAGTTTGTGTGTGCCATGAGATGAAAAAGGTTGACAATTGCTGACTTATATAACTGTCAAATTGTAGGTTAAACTTTAAATATTTTTTCTTACTTTAAAATAAAAGTAAATATAGAGCTATAATATTTTATTCCTGCCCCCACAGGATGCCTTTTCACAAGCCTCTTGACAGACAGCTCTCAGTAGTTATGTGTATCTTGGTTTTCATTACAGCCCTTTCTACTCCGCATTGTAGTTGTTTCCTGATTGTACTGCTGCTGTTTAGGAGCCTCCACCTCCAAGACCACTGCTTTAGACTGTACACTCCTTTGGAGGTTGAATTTTGATAATTACTTATCTACAGATCTTATTATAAGCGTACTTCATTGATTATGCTATTACAGCTATCCCAGGTTGTCCCCTTTTGCTCCCCTCTGCCTCCTACTGCCCTTTGATCCAGCAATCCCCGCCTTAGTTCATGTCCATGGGTTCTGCATATATGTTCTTTGGCCTCTCCATATCCTGTACTGTTCTTAATGTCCCTGTGTCTATTCTGTACCTACTAATTATGCTTCTTAATCCCTGTACCTTTTCCTCCATTCTCCCCTCTTCCCCTCCCCACTGATAACCCTACAAACGATCTCCATTTCTGGGATTCTGTTCCTGTTCTGGCTGTTTGCTTAGTTTGCTTTTTTTTTTTTTTTTTTTAGATTCAGTTGTTAATAGTTGTGAGTTTGTTGTCATTTCACTGTTCCTAGTTTTGATCTTCTTTTTCTTAAATGAGTCCCTTTAACATTTTATATAATAAGGGCTTGATGATGATGAACTCCTTTAATTTTTACCTTGTCTGGGAAGCACTTTATCTGCCCTTCAATTCTAAATGATAGCATTTGCTGGATAGAGCAATCTTGAATATAGGTCCTTGCTCTTCATGACTTTGAATACTTCTTGCCAGTCTCTCTTGCCTGCAAAGTTTCTTTTGAGAAATATGTTGATAGTCTTATGGGAACTCCTTTGTAGGTAACTCTGCTTTTCTCTTGCTGCTTTTAAGATTCTCTCTTTATCTCTAACCTTTGGCATTTTAATTATGATGTGTCTTGGTGTGGTCCTCTTTGGGTCCAATTTATTTGGGACTGTTTGTACTTCCTGGACTTGTATGTCTATTTCCTTCACCAAATTAGGGATAGTTCTTTTTTATAAGTTTTTTAAATAAGTTTTCAATTTCTTGCTCTTTCTCTTTTCCTTCTGGCATCCTTATGATTCGAATGTTGGCACTTTTGGAGATGTCCCAGAGGCTTCTTATTCTGCACTTGTTTTTTTTTGTTTTTGTTTTTTTTTTTGAATTCCTATTTCTTCATTCTGTTCTGGCTGATTGTTTATTTCTTCCTTGCGTTCCAAATGTTAATCTGAACCCCAGCTTCCTTCCCTTCACTGTTGGTTCCCTGTGTATTTTTTTAATTTCACTTAGTGAGCCTTCATTTATTCCCTTATGCTTTTGCCATACTCAGTGAGTTCTCTGAGCATCCTGATAACCAGTGTTTTGAACTCTGCATTTCATAGGTTGGCTATCTCTGTTTTGTTTAGTGCTTTTTTTCCTGGGGTTTCATTTTGTTTTTTCATTTGGACCATGTTTCTTTGTCTCCTCAATTTGGCAGCCTCCCTGTGTTTGCTTCTGTGTATTAGGTAGAGCCGCTTTGACTGCCTGTCTTAGAAAAGGCACCTGTCTGGATGAATGTGGCTTCTTTAAGTCCTTGATTGTCACACAGTGACAATCACACAGTTTGATTTTCTGGCAGTTTTGGGTATTTTTTGTCTTGAGGTTAGTTGTGATCTTTGTTATGGTTGTGCAAGGAGGCAAAGTGTGTCTACCTATGCCTCCATCTTGACTGGAAGTTCTTATCTGCAGATCTTAATACCATTCCTGAAATATAATAAGAGCTTAGTAAATATGTTTTGAATGAGTGAGCTACTCATACTGTCCCTCACCATTACCACCACCACCCTGGTGCTTCCATTTTCTGCCTCAGTATTCCAACCCTCTGTCAAATAATCATGTCCCAGGACTATTGACTCCTCTCAAACTTAAGTTAGTAAGGTCATATTCTCATTCTTCCCCCAACAAAAGACTTAGGGTTCCCAATACATTTATGTTAAGAGGAATTTCCCCCCCCCAACAACTCATCTTATACTCAAAAGTGTAGACTAATGACTGTGACCACTAGATGAATTGCTCCATATTGTAACACCATTACATTCATGGATAAACCTGCAAGAAAAGCAGAACTGAAGTGATTCCTCAACTCTAAGCAAAAGAATGCCTAGGACACAATGCCTGTGTTCAAGGAAAATGTCTTAGCATCAAAATCAGATTCTTGGCC